CCAAAGTATCAATATCAAGCAATCAGTGCTGTAAATGTTTCATGAAGAAAATCTAGGCTCAAAGGTTCAGTTACTAAATGAAGTTTTGTCACAGGTAACATTTTCATCTGAATATTTATCAGTTTAGTTTCAAGTGTTCAACATCTTATGAAGGTTACTTGCATCTGTGTGCTTGTATGTGTTGACAGTTAGAAATGAAGATTTCTGTTATTCATGTATTCAGATCTGCAGGTGAAGGTGAGCAGATCAAAGTATTCTCCCTGGGCAGAGCTGAAGTGTCACAGCAGCTGTCGTCTACCTGGCCATCCTTCCTACATCTGGTACAAGAACGGACAGAAAATTCAGGAAGAAACATCTACATATTCAGGTCCCTTTGATCCTGCAGGCAGCTTTTCCTGTGCTGTACGAGGATATGAGAAGTCCCGCTCTCCTTCAGTGTGTGAGTTTACATCCAGTCTTCCACTGACATGACACCATCTGGTGGAGTAGTGTAACTAATGCTGTATCATGAATATATGTGTCTTTAATGGGTGACAGTAATTGTGTGTGTGTTTGTGCAGTTTAGTTCACTCAAGCTTTTTGTTTTAATTTTTAAGCACTAGTTCCACAACAATTTGAATGAGGGATACTTTCCCCCCAAAATAATTATTAGCAAATAATTAGTAAATATAAAAGAAAAAAAGGAAATCAGCTTTTACTATAAAGGTGTGTAATTGGTTCAGGAAACACCAGAAGAAACACAAAGTCTTCAGAATTTTTGTGACCACAGCAACTCTGGACAGCAGCAATAATCAAACATCTAAAAAAAATGGAAATGTAATCTGTTTTTCTTTCTTTAATTTCTTCCTGAATAAATGATTCTCTTTAGGATTGAACTATCAACAACAAAAGACTGTTTAACAAAAACATTTTAAAGTTAATGTATGTTAATATCTCCTGCAGATGCTCCAAAGTTTCCCTCCGTGTCAGCGAGTCCCTCTGGTGATTTAGTGGAGGGCAGTTCAGTAAATCTGACTTGTAGCTGTGATGCTAAGCCAGCAGCTAACTATATCTGGTACAAGAGGACTAAAAATCCAGACCATGAAGATCTCAGTAAAGAACCACAGCTTGTCTTCAGCTCCATCCAGTCCTCTGACTCTGGAGAGTATTACTGTGCAGCTGAGAACCAGCTGGGGAGGAGGACATCTGAATACATCATTAATGTGAAATGTGAGTGAAACACAGGTTTAATGCTATTGAGAGATTAAATACACTCTAAAATATCATCACAGTATAACATCATGTCAAGTGAACTTCTGGGATATCAATCTGTCCAGTTAGGAAGAATAAGTAATTGTGAATCACCTGTTTTTGGAGCGGCAACAGCAAGACAACGCCCCAAAAAATGAGTGGTTTTGCACGTGGTGGCCGCAGACAGTTGTTCTCTCCTTACCCTTCCTGACTGATTGTTCTTTAGTTTTGCATTTTGTTAGCGTCCTCATCACCACTGGTTGCATGATGCAATATCTGCAGCCCATTCAGGTTGCACAGGTAGTCCAGCTCCTCCAGGGTGGCACATCCATATGTGCCACAGCAAGAAGGTTTGCTGCGTCTCCCAGCACAGGTTTAAAAGAATGGAGGAGATACAAGGAGACCGATAATTGCACGAGGAGAGCTGGACACCGTAGATGGGACATCAACCCGGCAGCAGGGCCAGAACTGCTTCTTTGTGCGAGGAGGACCAGGAGGAGCACTGCTGAGACGTTGTCAGGAGTGCATACAGCCCCTTGGGCCATACATACTACTGAGTCACATCATGAGTTGCAGTTTAACAGTTAAATTTTTTTACTTTTAACTTTTCAATGTGTCCAGTCCTCATTCAGTAGGTGATTTTGGTTTCCACTGACCGTTAAATAATTTTGTTCTCAACGAATTATACAGTGTACAGTAAATATTTAGAACTTCAAGATCTGATGTTTGATTTAAGTGTTCCCTTAATGTTTTTGAGAAGTATATGTCACATACTTTGATTTTTCAGCTTGGGCTTTAGACTTTTCAACAAGAATTTTCAATAAGAAGGCTGCAGTACAAACTGGGCTTTCTTTGAAAAAAGTGGACATTCAGTGTTTTGGGGAGTTTGACCCATATTATGGACTACAGGTCAGGATATTTCATCCTCTACTGCTTCAGTTTGATAAATTATTTAAATCTGTTTCTCGTGAGTCCCCCAACTTTGTGGAAGTGCAAAACTAAATCTCTGGATCTCTGGTTTTCTGCTGTAATTCACTGAGCAGCTTCAGTACATTTAGACCACGATCAACTTTCTACATCCTGCCAAATATGCACGCAACTTATGATAATCTATATTCATGTAATACAGATGCTCCAAAGCTTCCCTCTGTGTCAGTGAGTCCCTCTGCTGAGATAGTGGAGGGCAGTTCAGTGACTCTGACCTGCAGCAGTGATGCTAACCCAGCAGCTAAATACACCTGGTACAAGGAGAATGAAGACTCACCAAAAGCATCAGGACAGAACTTCACCATCACTGACTACAGAGATGAACACAGTGGGAATTATTACTGTGAAGCCCAGAACAGAAGAGGACGTCCACCTTACATCTGATTGTTGTGGCAGGTACATTTTTCAGTTCACTTACACATGTACACATGTAAACATCTTAATCCACCATATGATGAAATGTGGGAAGATTAAGGTTAAAATCAAGGGCAACTTGATTTAGTTGAAGATACTAGAAGTTAGGGAAACTCAGCTGTTTAACCTCTGTGGGGTCGTTTGCCAAGATGATCGATACTGCTGGTTCTTAGTGCTCCTGGCATTTGTAATAACAGTCATTATGGTCATTAGAGCGACCTGAGGCCAAGTCTGAATGACCATCGTTGGCATCCTCACCTGAGGCCAAAAGTGAACGTTTGTTAAGTTTCCTGGGAAGGGATGAAAGAACAGCATTGTAAGTGGGGACAAGTGGTGTCGCAGACCCCCTCCACTGTTAAGCGACGGTTTCTCAACCCGGGTGTAAATGAATATCTTCACACCTCTTTCAAACCGACCATCCTCTCTGTCTAAAATGTGCACTAGTTGTTGTTCTGCTCACAAAATGAGGAAAGCTAAAGTCATTGATTCAAGCTGTCAAAATGAGGCAGATTTTCATTTAGAGGAGAGATTTGAGATGATGCCAGGGTGTCCAGATTTAGCCATGCACATGTGACTGAGAGAAGGTCATAGGACAGACCAGGGAGACAGTAAAGGGGTTAAGTCTTCCTGCTGGCCAGGGGAGCTTGGGGATACAGGAGGACATTGTGTAATGTAATGTGTCTTTTAAGATGGCAAAAGATCTTTCAAAAGAACATACATAATACATGTGCAAAGAAAAATATTTTTGTTATATCACTCTATGTGGCCAAACATCTGAACACACTCAAATGAGTCATTTTGTTTTATTCCAGTGTTCCCAGGAGTATGGAAATCAGCAGTCTTTGGAACAACATCTGCTGTTTTCCTGGCTATCATATGGCTCTCTGTCCTCCTACTGATAGGGTGAGTAGATTTGTTTTACTGATGCATTTTACATTGAATACCAGAGTCTTGTTAGCAGCCAGGTTGGCAGATGAATTATTATTTCCTTGGTTTTTAATTCATTCTAACCAGGAAAAAGAGATCCTCCAAGCAATCATCTGAGCCTGGAGATAGACCAGACGACAGGGAACAGGATGACCTTCATTATGCCAGTTTCCACTTCTCCAATAACCAGACAGTTGCTGTCTACTCCAACATCATACCAGCTGTCCCCCGAAGACACAAGGAAGAGGAGGAGGAGGAAGTTGTTGAGTACGCTGCTGTCCAATTTAACAGTGCCAGTACTGCCCCAAGGTGAGCAGCTCCTCTCACAGGAACATTATCCTCACTAAAACCTCAACATGGCATGCAGTTAATGGAGCTGATGATCAAGTATTTCATTTTAACACTTTCATTCCTGTTGCATTTGCTTGTTTTCTTTACATTTTCACTATCACTGTTTGTATTTGTGAAGGAATTTAAGGGTACTATGACCCAGGTTTCCGCAGGTCATGATAGGGTCAATTACTGAGCTAAAGGAAGCCAAAGGTGACAGCCAGGGCCTCTCCAAAACTGTAGGCCAGACTCTGTCTCTCCTCTCTGCCTGCTTGTCGGCTGACTGATGCAGCTGAGTTGATAAGGATGCACTGTTATACATCTGTTAGGTAACCCAAGGTCAAGATTATCTTTATGTTGTCTCATTACAGACTGACTGGCTATGTAGAAAAGGACACTTATTTGGACACTTAGTGAATCTGTTTAGGCCTAGGAAGGATAAATATCAGACAGGAAGTAGCCTTCAGATTTGGTGTTGGCATTTCATGTGTTCACATGTTGTGTGCCGGCACTGCATCTCCTCATTAAACCATGCTGTGTAAGCCTTCATCAGTCTCTTGAAACGTCTTCATCACACCTGAACCTGGCTCACAATATTTTCACAGCAGTTTGAGTTAATACTATATCTTTATCTTTTTTTCTCAGGACCAGAAGTCAGGAAACTGTGGAGGATCCAGCTGCATTGTACAGTACAGTCAACAAAAGTGCTGAACGCAACCGGAACGTCTAATCTGTGCTTTCTGTCATTTTTAAATGTGCTAGGCTCTAGGGATGGCAAAGTAAGTCTGTGGTTGGTTAATTAGTTTTGCAGTCAGTTGGTCTACCACTTGCAGAGTCCAGACTGAAATAGTTCAACAACTAGTTTTTACTGACATTTATGGTTCCCAGAGGATGCATCCTACTGACTTTGGGGATCCCGACTTTAACCCTGCACCAGAACCAGGGTGTCATTTTAGTTTTTTGTGACATGTCTTGACAACTATTGGATGGATTGTCATGAAATGTGTTATTTGCTTCTTTGGTTTATGACCAAATACCTGAAAAACTAATTCCCAGCATCCTCAGCTGTACTGTCTGTTTAGTGCCAATTAACAAATGTTAGAAACTAACACAACTAACATGGTGAATAAGATAAACATTATACCTGCTAAACAAAACTAGAACCCACTTGTAAAACCATGTCTCCATAATGCTAGTGATAAAAAAAAACTCTGCAGGATACATTTTAACCTTATTAAAGATTAATTTAGACCTAGCAAACATTTTCCTAATTCTT